GAATCTTCCCTCACCTGCCCCTTGGCTGGACACAACCTGGACATAATTTGTAGCCCTGATCATGGAGTTAGCCTGGCTCCTGGAAGTTTGTCAGGGGGAGTGGAGGTGCCTATCTGAGGAACCGCAGAGCTCATAGTTCTTCCTCAGCTGATTCATTTAATGAAGACCAAATCATTACAGAAGTTCCAAAGGCCAACAATACTTTTATCATAATAGACTTAAAATTCATAAGCATAATGTTCAGCAGCCATGCTTGAATTTTTTCAGATGTTATTATGTTCCAAAACCGGTTTAGCGTTTAAAGCCTTCAGTGTTTCGATGCTCACACTTTTTTGTAATTATTTAACTGTCTTTCTCACCTAGAATGTCAGCTCTGGGAAGGTAGTGACAGTGGACGCCTTGCCACTGTCCCCCCAGCACGATGTCTAATACATAGCAAACACTAATACATATGTTTTGACTGAATGAAGGAATTTCTTTACGTATTTTTCTTCTGGACCTTGAAACAAAAGGAACAAACATACAAAGAGCGATGAGCAATTAACAACCACTTTTATTACTTAATTTTTATAATGAAAGATTTTTGTTTTCAATTATCTCCTTCCCTTCGTATTTCCTAGGGCCATTTTGTTTTGTTTTGTTTCACAGGGGCATCAAGGCGTGTATTCCCTGGCATACTTGCCCAGTCCACAAGTCAATGCCTGCTTTCTTTGGAAGATGTCACCCTTTGCCGTGGAGTCTATACGATGCCCTTCCCTATAATGTGGGACTGAGATGAATTGCAGACAGTCTCTTTGAGTGAGTAAAATTGCAACATGCAAAGCCTGAGCTGACACTTCACTATGTGCTCAGAGAAATGTGGTCCAGACAGGGAGAGGGAGAGAAGGGGAGTGAGAGAGAGAGGGGAAGAGAGAGAAGCAGATGTGCAAAGAAAAGCAGAGGCAAGAGTAAGAGAGAGGCATAAAGGAAGTCTTGGCCATCCAGGATCTCAGTCAGTCAGTCAGTCCCATCCAGAGGCCTAGGAGAGTTGCTGTCTTTAGGTTTCCTTGAGATATTCCTATAGCCTTAATATAAATGGCTCCCTCTACGGCTTAAGCCAGGTTAAGGTGGGCCAATCCCTAACAAATGGATCCTATATTTTAAATGGAAGCCAATGAGGCATCATTTTAAATGCACAGGTAACTCCCAGGAGACGCAGAGCAGTGCATGCAAAAAAAAAAAAAACCCAAAAAACAACCACAAAAAAACCCTGAGTATTTTCAATGGACCTTCCTTAGTTTTTCCAGATGAGGCCAGAGCATGTATCAGGACCATGCATCCCAATGGCCGTAACCACACAGAGGCGACCTGGAGAAAAGACCCTCGGGTTAGTTTGGCAACTTGAAAAGAATAAATGGAATGGCAGAGTTTAGTGAACGGGTCCTTGCCAAAAGAGAACACTGCATATCCAACTACCGTAGGCATGGGAACTGAGCACAAAGACTTGAGAGCATTGTTTCTCACAGTAAGGTCCTGGGTAAGAACCTCATCTCAGATTCCGTAGGTCAAAACAGCTTGCTACTCAGGATGTAGTATGAAGCCGTGAGGCAGTGATATAACTTGGGAAGCCGGAAGAAAGGAGGAGTCTTTCCCACTTCTTTGACCTGAATCAGAATCTGTATTCTAACAAGATGCCCGTTGATTCGATATTCATTAAAGGGGGAACTTTGTTCTATGTCATTAGTTCTCAGGTGGGTTGAACATGGGAATCACCCAAGTGACTTACCCATGTTACTCTGGTCTGAGCTCTACCCCCTCCCAGAGGTTCTGACTTTGGAGAGTTTGACTCTAGGCTTGGAGAGTGACCTGAGCAGACAGAGTTTTTAAAGTTCCCCCAAGTGATGGGGCGCCTGGGTGGCTCAGTCGGTTAAGCGTCCGACTCCGGCTCAGGTCATGATTTCATACTCTGTGAGTTCAAGCCCCACATCGGGCTCTGTGCTGACAGCTCAGAGCCTGGAGCCTGCTTCGGATTCTGTGTCTCCCTCTCTCTCTGCCCATGTTCTGTCTCTCTGTGTCTCAAAAATAAATAAAAACATTAAAAAAAAAAATAAAGTTCCCCCAAGTGATTCTGATGTGCAGCTAAGATTGAGAATCACTGCTTATTGAAGACCACCAGATATATCTTAGAAGAAAGTCAACTTGTTAAATGGATTTTGAGACTCCTGGAAGGCACCATAATCTGAAAGAAGATTAATTTTGATTTGGGAGAGCAGGACCCCAAAGAGAAAGAAAACTATACTTCTTTGTAAGTTCCAGGTAGAACTGGTTTGGAAAAAATCACAAGATAGACCACGGGGGACCAGGACACACAGTTTATAAAATGAGCTATAGGATTTGGAACGCATGCCACCCAATAGCCTCAGGGTGGGGGAACACTGCTATTTCCCAGGCAAAACCTAAGAAGATTGAAACTCCATTAGGCTGGAGTAATAAGGTGTCTTGGTGATAACTTAGCAATAGCTAAAGGAATAATCCAGGTGGATAAACAATCTCAGAAACTTGAAAACCTAACCTGTAAATGTCTGGGTCCTAACCATAGTATGGAAGCGCATGCTAAGAACGGACCAGAAGAGGCCAGAATAGAATGAGGACTCATGACCCATAGAACTTTCGAGCAGTGGCCACTACAGAGGCCATGGGATTAACCACAGAAACTTATAAGCACTGCGTGAAAGGCCAGGAGAGACTGAATTATCCTTCAGGCAGAAGCTAGTAAAAACAGGTGATGCACTTGGGCCGGATGTCCCTTTCCTAGTCCCTGGACAACAGGCACGCCCTTTGCCACTCCCTTCCTTGAAAGAGTGGCCTCAGAGACAGGAAAGGAGAAAATCTTGAATCTAAATGAACATCTGCTCAACTGATTCCTGAATTATGCCTGTGGATTTCAAATCCATCGTAGTGGTGAAGAGAATGTAGTTATTACCCTCCCATTAGGGTTTTGCCTCTGCACAGGTCTCTGGGGACTTGGCGTCACTCTAAGGAGAATTCTTTGAATGTCATTCTTTTGTAAAGAGATGGGGATCAAGGAAAATGCTCTAGGATCATGAATCACAAGACATTCACATTTCCATTCGAGAGGCAGAACCGGGACCAGAACCCAAGTCTACTAAGAAGACGTACAGTCGCACACCGAACGCCTCGAGATGATCTCAAGGGATAAGAATCCAATTAGGGGCATGAATGGTGCTGCCTTAGTGAAGGACATTTACTTTACAGACAGATACACAGACTGCATTAACCTCATTAATTAGTATTAATTGAATCAGCCTCAGTAGGTACGGTTAACGAATGGCTTCAAATGACCTTTTTCCGATTGTTAAGAAGGGATAAAAGAAGACATAATTAAGAGGTAACTAGTTGCCAACATCTACCTACTTTAGCTTCTCTCTTCCCTGTCTGCCTCCTCTTTCCCCGCTCCCTCAACCCTCCACCCACCCCCAGAAGAAATATTCATTGAGATAAAAATTGTCTCATGATCCTCTCCTTCCTGGCTTTTATTTAGGAGACTTGAAAGAAAGCTGATGAACTTCCTAGGCGTGCAATACATCCCTTATTTCCTTTACCTGGCGGAAGGTACAGCCACCTGTGTGTCAAGTTCCCTGGTACTGAGGTAAGAATATGACAAGCATAATGAATAGCAACAGCTTTCCAAAAATAACTCTTCATCTAAGATTACAGCCTATGAGTTGAATTTCATGAATCATCCTGACATATTTTGGGAAGAAATCACATCAGGGACTAATTTTTGGATTATTTAAAATAAAATGGATTATGAATGACACCCTCCTCCCCCCCCCAAAAAACCCCACTAACCTCATTGATTAGACTAGTATAGTATAACCTAAGAAAATAAACTTAACTAGACGCTCTTGAAATTGCTGAGGTAGGATGTATTCGTATACGATATAAAACTAAATCTGCTTTGAGCCCATTAGAACGTCTTTGGTGGTGCCAGGAAAGATTTCTGGCAAATTTATGAGAAGATGATACAGTATCCTTTTTGCCTGATGCCAGAGGGGAAGAGAAAACGGAAGGATGGAATTAGTTATGTATGTTTAGGCAGTCAGTGTATTGGAATGTTGCCCCAAACCAGAAAAAAAAAAAAAACCCTCGACATATGGAAAGCACCCAATTGGCGTGAACGTGGTGGAATGAGACAGGTTTTGATAAATAGTTGAAGCTGTTGGTTAACTAGTAGTAATTTCTAAGTATTTGTTGAAACCATTTTAAAATAACTAACATAAAAATGAAAATTGCATCATAAAACCAAGAAGTCTAATGCTCTCTGCTGAAAACCCTGGGATTCCCAAAACAATCCGTTAAGACAAATTGTGCCTTCCTCCGGCACGCACAAACCGTGAATTATCTCGCTGGGCGGTATAATTTCCACGAGCCCTCAGTCGGAGTGTAGTCACCAAGAACAGTTTACCATCTTTCTTATCAACAAGCTCCTTTTGCTTCACTTTGAAATACGCAATCTATTTTGAAAAACCCCAAAAGACGGCTAGAAAATACTTATGCTCCAAAAGCATGAGCTTGATGACAGAAATGTCGAGGCTCATGAGTTAATTAACAGGAACTATGAGCTCAAAAGGGAATTACAGGGTTAAAATAAATTGCTCTAGCTGGCCCTGAGGCAAGTCTTCATCAATGGACAACAGCTTACTGAGGGGTTTCAAACAAAAACTTTTGTCGCAAAGTTGACAAGTTTTGCGTCCAGTGCGGGTTTTCAAAAGCCACCTTGCCTTTCTCACATGGTTTCTTGGCGGGAAGGGGACTGTTTGTTTTGTCTGCCTTCCCTGTTTTGTCACTTGGGAATCATGGACAAAAGCCCGGGGCCATCTGTGGGTAAGCTTGGCCTTCCCCTTCAGGAGGGGAACCACTTTCACATGATGCGCTGTCCCGAGAACGGGCTTCCTTCTGGGAAGTGGGCTCTCATGGGAAAAGAAAGAAACCCTTACCTGGGTAATCATTCTTGTCTATGTCTGAATCTCCTCTGAGAGTAAAGCCGAATCCAGAAGGGATGGTCTGGGAGGCCCACAATCCTTGCAGAATCTGGGACGCCTTGGTGTGTAAGCCATCCTTGTTCCCATTGTAAATGAGCACTTTGCCTCTTTGGTCCTTGCCTGCAAAGGGTGCCCCGATGGCAATGTCTACAAACGGACACACATAAACATATTTGTTAAGTCAGGAAGAATGTTTGAGACGTAGAATGAAGTGCAATCAAAGAGCCGTATCATAAAATCCAAAGGGCTTATTAAGCTTTCCATGAAAATTTCATAATACTGCAGCAACCATAAGTTATTTGTTTGCCTTTTATCCATCCTGCAAATATTTATCGAGCGACTGCTATGTGTTGGACGCAGCAGTTGTGACAGCAAATCAGATGCTGCTTTCCGAACATTCATACTGTAGTGCAGGTAGTAGACAATTTGAATAAAGAAGCGATCAAGGAAATATGGAAAGTGACAAACTCTATGCAGAAGAACCAAAAATATTAATGTGATGGAGAATGGTTGTTATTTTTACATATCTTTTTAAAAATATTTATTTTGAGAGAGAGAGAGCATGAGGGAGCGTGAGAGGGGGAGAGAAAGAGGGAGAGAGAGAATCCCAAGCAGACTCCATGCTGTCAGCTCAGAGTCCAACGCAGGGCTTGATCTCACGAACTGTGAGATCATGGCCTGAGCTGAAATCAAGAGTAGGTTGCTTAACCAACTGAGCCGTCCAGGCACTCTGTCAGGTTATTATTTTTAGATTAGGGGATCAGGCAAGGTGTCATTAAGGCTCACGCTGAAATGGAAATCTAAGGACAAGATGAAACCAACCATGTGAAATCGGAGGGGAGAGCGCTCCAGGCAGAAAGAACTGGTGTGCAAAGGTCCAAGGTTGGAAAGCACTTGGCCCATTGGAGGAGCAAGGCAGAGGATGATCTACATGGGAACTTAGCAACAAGCCACAGGGAGGGCTGGGTCCCATCACTAGGCTGAGTAGAACAGGCGAGACACCTTTGCAGGGTACTTAGGAGTTTCTTGTTAAAAGGAAAAAAAACAATCTCTTTCACAGAGATTATCTAATGTAATGATTACATCAACCCATGAGGTAGGCAGGACCCATTTTACAGTAGAGGATACAGAGAAACCTGGAAAGGACCCTACCACTCGACTCCCACTTAAATATGGCACTGAATGAAAGTTAACTTCCACACATCGTGTCCATCAGAATTGTTCTAAACAATACACACAAGGGGCTCCTGGGTGGCTCAGTCGGTTAAGCGTCCAACTCTTGATTTCTGCTCAGGTCATGATCTCATGGTTCATGGGATCGAGCCCCGCCTCAGGCTTTGTGCTGACAGCGGGAGCCTGCTTGGGATTCTCTCTCTCTTTCTCACAAAATAAATACATAAATTTAAAAAACATAAAACACTCGAATATTTAGTTTTACATAAAAAAAGAGCACCAATAACACAATAACATAATAGCTCGCCACAGCGGGTGACAATTATGTATCCCCATTTTGTCATTTATTTCTCTTTGCTCCTAAGTTTGACAAGACTAAGTAAATCGTGAATGGATTTTGACTACGTAACAAGGATTATCATTCCAGCTTCACTTAACAGGTAAGAATAAACTATCCCAAATCTCAGATTGTTGTGGAAAATGAAGATTGCATCACGTGGCAGGTGCAAAGGGACCCTTCTTTCACTTCCTCTAGGTCCGTCCACATCGGTCCCATGTTTCATCCCAGTCTGGCATTATTTTGCCCACTTAAAAAAGTTTATTTATTTTGAGACACACACACACACACACACACACACACACACACACACACACACACACACAGCATGAGCTGGGAAGGAGCAGAGAGAGGGAGAGAGAGAATCCCAAGTCTCGCTGTTGCCACAGAGCCCAAGACGGGGCTCGAACTCACGAACCGTGAGATCATGACCTGTGCAGTCAGTCACTTAACCGACCAAGCCACCCAGGTGCCCGTATTTTACCCAGTTTCTACATCAGTGACATCAAAGGCAGAACACGCTTTCTGCCATTAAAGATGCTTCTCTTACCTTTTAAAAATATCATGAAGGGTTTGAGAAAAAAAAAAGATACATAGAGGAAAATATGGTGATAAGGATGACTCAACAGATAATGTAGCAAAATAAATATATTTTGCATGGTGCCCAGGGATAGGGCAGGTTTTGAAAGCAGCTTATCAGTTAAAGATAAACTTGTCTCTCTTTTTATTATTTTCCTGGAAACATGAACTTGTAATATGCATTTTTGTCTTATGGCACTTTAAAAATTACTAACCATACAGTTCTGGGATGTCTTTTTTTTTTTTTTTTTTTTTTTTTTTCTCAAAGAAAACTTAACCTTACAATACCCCTTGGCAAAGGTACTAATGAATACTGCTCTGATGCAAACACTCCCTAGGCTATTTTGTTTGAGCAAATTCGAGCAAGCTTTGTGTGAGCTTGCATGTTTTTCTGAGGAAAGGGTACTTGCAAGGGATTCATAAATTCCTACTTTAAAGAATCATAATCCTAAACCAAGAATTTAACACTACTGCAAACACTGAAGTTGCTTTAAGCTGAAATTTACTGACCAATTAAAATTCAGCAAAGCCTATATGTAACTCAAATGGGTTAATCACAAGGCATCATTCTTGTTCATATATCAGCATGCATTTCTTTGTCTTGACTGTACATACGGAAGATTCTTTAGTTTTCTTTGAGTCATTAACTCCAAATATTAATTTAAAAAATAACAGCTGTCTTTATTTATAGCTGATCTATGACAACTTAACTTTAAATTGTCTTGACATTTCTTTAATAGTTCATAAAAAATCAATAATAGGGGCACCGAGTGGCTCAGTCTGTTAAGCGGCTGACTTTGGCTCACGTCATGATCTCACGGTTTACGGGCTCGAGACCCGCGTCAGGCTCTGTGCTGATAGCTCGGAGCCTGGAGCCTGCTTCAGATTCTGTGTCTCCCCCTCTCTCTCCCCCTTGCCCGCTCATGCTCTGTCTCTCTCTCAAAAATAAATATTTAAAAATTTAAAAAATCAATAATAAGAACTGTACCCTGTATTTACACTGCTGTAAATACTTCTAAGACATCATTGTTTCCTTCATGTAACAGTAACATGAATTACAACACATAAACAATGCCACGTATTGGTAAAAATTACCATTGTATCCATCTTGGTTCAGGTCTCCTAAGTGTGCCACAGCACTACCGAATCTCCCGAAAACCTCGGTGCCTGCGAGGATCTGTGGGTCTCTGAAGACAAGAGCACTCACTTGCAAATACAGATAAACTTGCCCTACTTCCCTAGGGCTGGTCTCAAATTCACGTTCCATGTAGAGAGGGGCCCCAATCAATACATCATCCATTCTGCAGGGAACAAAGAGAGAGGTCAGAGCACCGACTGACGTGAGATTCCAGGGGGACATATTTTTTTAATGTTTATTTTTGATAGAACATGGGGTAGAGTGGGGGGAGGAGAAGACAGGAGAGGGAGACACAGAATCCAAAGCGGGCTCCAGGCTCTGAGCTGTCAGCACAGAGCCTGATGCAGGGCTTGAACCCGCAGTCCATGAGATCATGACCTGAGCTGAGGTCGGGAGGTCTCCCAACCGACTGAGCCACCCAGGTGCTGCCCCCCCCGCCCCCCCGCCAGTGGATACATTTTTAACCAACTAGCTTAGTACATTTCCGTTGGTATTTTTCCAGGTACATTTTACAATCACCGTGTTTCTTTCATTGCTTTGTTATGTCTATGGGATAGAATGTTATAGGAAAAGAAGACTTGTTACACTGAGCTTTTAGACTGTGTTACAAATGACCACTTTAAGAAAACCAGATACTTCACCCTTTTCAAAAGATTTTTAGTGCATTTCCAGAAAATTTAGCTAGACAAGCAAAACATATCAAAAGGACCTAAAAAGGGTTTCTCTCAAAGTGGATTAGTGTTTGTCTACAACAACAGAATGATTCACATAAATTATGAAGTTTTCTTGCAGTAATAAGGTTTAACATAAATGTTGCCTTCTTCTTTCCTCTTGTTACTTCCATTTAAATAAAGCAGAGGGGCGCCTGGGTGGCTCAGTCGGTTAAGCATCCGACTTCAGCTCGGGTCATGATCTTGCGGTCCGTGAGTTTGAGCCCTGTGTCGGGCTCTGTGCTGACAGCTCAGAGCCTGGAGCCTGCTTTGGATTTTGTGTTTCCCTCACTCTGTGCCCCTCTTCCACTCATGCTCTGTCTTTATCTGTATCTCAAAAATAAATAAACATTAAAAAATGTTTTAAAAAAAGGCGGGGGGACGCCTGGGTGGCTTGGTTAAGTGTCCGACTTCAGCTCAGGTCATGATCTCATGGTTCATGAGTTCAAGCCCCATGTAGGACTCTGTGCTGACAGCTCAGAGCCTGGAGCCTGTTTCAGATTCTGTGTCTCCCTCTCTCTGACCCTCCCCCGTTCATGCTCTGTCTCTCTCTGTCTCAAAAATAAATAAAGCAGAGACCAGAGAGGGTTATAGTACTACCTAAAAAGATAGAAAACAAATTTTCATCCCAAATAGGACTTGATAGTTATCTTTGTAAATGGAGATACACTAGCAGGAAATTAATAGATAATTTTTAAGGTTGAAAAAAATTCAAGAAACAAATACCTATGCACATTATCTAGAGATAAAGATATAGCCCCCCAAGAGAACAAAATACAAAAGTGGTTAAAAGTGTTCCCTTCACAGAGCCGATGGGCATGAAGAAGAGTACAACAGAGCTACCTAAACTATTTCAGTTTTTAAGAACACATACATACATTATTTTATTTTAGAAATCTTAGGAAAAGTCACGTCAACCAAAATTCAAAATGTGATCTATACTAATGACCTCTGAAGATGCCCCAATCTTGGGAGAGGCAATAATCCAAAGAAAAATCTGCCTTTGGTTTTTATGCTGACATAGATTAGGCAACATGCAGAAACTTGCCAACTAAACTAAAAATATCACCATTCATCTAAAAGGCAGGAATGAGGGTGATCAGTTACTGAAAACCAAAAAGAAATCCTCCTTTAAGATAGGAGGCATCTGTAAGACATTGCAACTTCACCCTGACCGCCTCTTTCTCCAACTTCTCGCCTTCCCTGCAGTGGTCAACTAGTACCCAGGTTCAAGAGACATTCTGTGTAACAACTGTATTTAAGACACTGTGATAAGTGACTCAAGGAATATAGCGACAATTAGGTCAACCCCGGTCCTAATTAACTTACAAGTGAAATCAAATTGCCACTCATTTAACTACAGACAAGGCAGGGTGGAAAAAAGCACACAAGTAATCCAAACTAAATCCTAGAGATCCTGGGTAGGAGAGAGGGCTGGTACTTTGACAGAGTTAAGCGATGCTCATGGAGGGGACGGCCTTAGACCTGAGTGGGATTCTGACAGGTGGCTTTAGAGGCAGGCTTTCCAGGTGACAGTACTCTGAGCCCAAAAAAGCAGTGTCTCTGAGTGGAGTCAGGGTACAGAGAGCGATCCAGGTGGGCTCCGTGCTAGAGGGGTGCCAAAATTTTAATTGGAAAAGTAAAATATACAAAGAATTCTTAAAACTTAATAATATGAAATCACAGTAATAATAACAATAACATATACAGTATGATACCATTATATACTACATAGCATATATTATTGTTATATATAACCAATATTATATGTATGGGATATACAATAGATTACATAACATATGTTATCATTGTTATACATAACCAATATTATATGTTTATGACATATAATAGAGCAATAAGAAAACAACGCAATTAAAAATGAGGCAAAAGATGTGAACAGACACATCATCAAAGAAGATTTACAGATGGCAAAGAGCACATAAAAAGATTCTCAATGTCAAATATCATTAGAGAATTGGAAATAAAAACAAAAATGAGATACTGCTACGAATCTATTAGAATGACTAACATCCAAAATACTGACAGCACCAAATGCTGGAAAAGAGTGCGGAGCAACAGGAACTCTCACTCATTGCCGGTGAGGACGAAAAATGGGACAGCCGCTTTGGAAGGCGGTACGGCACTTTCTTACAAAACGAAGCACAGGTTTACCGTATGATACAATAATCACACTCCTAGGTGGTCACGCACGTGAATTGAAAAAACTTAGGTCCAGAAAAAAAAAAAAAACTTGCAATTGCCAAAAATTGGAAGCAACCAAGATATCCTTGGTTGCACTAATAACCTGTGGCACATCATATAACAGAATATTACTCACCAATAAAAAGCAATGAACTATTAAGCCACAAAATGACAGGGAGGAACTTTAAATGCATTTTGCTAAGTGAAAGAAGCTAGTCTCAAAAGCCTTCATACTGTATGATTCCATGTGTATAACATTCTGGAAAAGACAAAACTATAGAGGCAGTAAAAACGAGTAGCAGCTGGCAGGAGTGAGGGGAGGGAGAGGAAGGACTAGATAGAGCACGGGGTGTTTTTAGGGCAGTGAAAGTATTTTGTACGATACTGTAGGTGGATACGTGACATTATGCATTCGGCAAAATTCACAGAACATAGAACCAAAAGAGTGAACCCTAATGTAAACCGTGCACTTCAGTTAATAATGTAACAATATTGTAACAAATGTACCACACCGATGCAAGAGGGTAATAACAGTGGAAACTGAGGGTGGAGAGGAGAGAGAATACATGTGAACTCTCTTTAATTCCTACTCAATTTTCCCATAAACCCAAACTGCTCTAAAAAAAATAAGACCTACCAAAAAAAAAAAAAAAGATAATTAAAAAGTAAGTTGAATCAGATTATATGGGAAAAGGATGAGTTTTAACGTTCTCCTGATCTAGATTTAAAAGCCGGCTCTTTTGGTAACAAGCTGTGCCGTATTGAACAAGTTACATTTCCTCAAAAATGTGAATGTAGAAATAGGCTACATCATTGGATACATCACTGAAGATCTCCCTCGGTCTCTGTCTCTGTCTCTCTCTGTACGTCTCCTTCCAAATGTGCGCACACACGTATATAGACAGGTCATACTATAGTAGTTTAATAAATGATAGGTATCGTGAAGGCACTGGGTTAGGTGTTGAGGGAATACACAATATTTTTACATTATAGCAATGTAAACAGAAAGAGCTCTTGGTAAAAAAGCACAATGCATCCCCCCTCTCCCTCTCCTACCTTGTAGGAGCCAGAAACAAGGTGAAATGTAACTCTGGGATAGTCTGGGGCTCCCAGCTACTTCAAGAACAGGCTCTTACTTGTCTCCCAAGCAGGAGACCTATCGCAGGGAAAAGCAAGAAACACCCTGAGTGTTACTTGGCCGACTTGTAAGAAGGAAGGGGTGGGGGGTGGGGGGTGGATGGGGGCGAGGACGGTTATAGATAGACCTGAGGAATGGCTATTATTTTTTCTTTTGTTTTTTAAAAAATGTATTTTAATTCCAGTAGAGTTAACATACATTGTTATATTAGTTTCAGGTGTACAACATAGTGACTCAACATTCTGTATGCACATGACCTTGTGCTCATCACAAGTGCCCTTCTGGAGGTGAGTAGGGGGATGGGTAAATAGGAATGGCTCTCATTTGGGTCTCACATTCCAAAACCTAAGTTGGATTACTATACTTAGGTAAAACGTTAAAAAAATTTTTTTTAACTGGTTTTTATTTATTTTTGAGAGATAGAGCATGCGTGGGGGAGGGGCAGAGAGAGGGGAGACACAGAATCCGAAGCAGGCTCCAGGCTCTGAGCTGTCAGCACAGAGCCCAACACGGGGCTCAAACCCATGAACCATGAGGTCATGACCTGAGCTGAAGTCAGATGCTTAACCGACTAAGCCATGCAGGTGCCCCAAAACATCTTCTTAAAAATAGGACAAGCACATTAGTTTAAAAAAAACAATTCCCATTGCTTGCCATCCTGCTGTGCTCCAAGACCAGAGGAGAGCAGGGATTGGGGTTATTGCCTTGATCTTCCCCCGCAGGTCTGTGGTTGCTTCTCTTTCTGTTATCATTATTGCCAGTAGGCGGGGCCATTCGCTAAACACCTAATTGTGTTGCTGCCTTGTGGTTCAAAAATGTCTGAAGTCACTGGTCTCTACTGTAGAGATGGAGTGGGGGCCATTTTCTCATTCTGTAAAGAAGGAACAAGCCATAAAATTGGTCCCCAAGGGTGCCAACGTGATGCAGGACTGGCACGGTTGGTGCAGTGCCTTTCTCCCTGCCGACCCAAGTTCTAGAAATGGGAAATTATTCACCGCATCATTGCGACAGACTAGCACACCCATGGGACCTTTGGATTCTTGGAAGTATTATGACAACCTTGATTTATTTTGTTAGAAATATATTCCCTAGATAGTTAAGTGTAAGTCTTCT